TATGATCCGGTGGCAGCTGATCCCAGCACATTGGGACACAGTGGCAATTACCGGGAGCAGAGAGAGCCCCTAAATGAGCAGGAGCAGGAACACCTGTCGGAGGGGGAACGGGAGCCCCACCTGGCATGCGGCGTGCCCGGGGACCAGGTCTGAACTGCAAACACTTTGAAGACGGATTCGATACTGACCTTGAAAGGGGAGAGGACGGAGTTGTATTTTTCCTTTCTTGGGGTACAGAGTTGACACGCTCTCAAGGTGACATCATTGTCACTCACACACAGCCCTCCTGGCAGTGGGCACGGATCCAATCCAGGGTCGCCCTGCCCAGGGTCAGAGGGTTTAAGGGACAGATGTCCCCGCTGCATTATTGAATGGCCCCCAGAGACCTGACCGGAGGGCACATGCTTTAAGGTGGAGAGAGATGGGTGAGGAAGGAGGGGAGCTGGGAGTGGTGTGGGGCGGGACATCCCCATCCATAGACCCGCAGGGTGAGGTCCCTCCAGACAGTGGTCTCGTGATCTGAACATTCTCGACTCAAAAGATGCCGTTTCTCCCACCTCAATGGAGGGAATCTGAGCGGCGTGCGGCTGGAGTACCTCGGAGGCCGTGGATGGACCGCATTGGGAAGACGCCCCCTGAGTTTAGGTCTGAAAATCGAGACTCCTGTCTCATCAGTTATCGTGGGGACTGTCACACAGAGGGACAGCTCTGTCCACAGTTGGCTTCTGGGACCAGCCCAGGTGGGCAAGCTGCCCAGCGCTGGCTGTTTGGCCCAGCTTGATAGATAGAGGCTGTGCCAGGCCGTGGTGGCTCAGTGGGTGAGCATCAACCTATGAACCTAGAGGTCCCGGTTTGATTCCCGGTCAGGGCACAATCCCCGGTGTGGGGTGTGCAGGAGGCAGCCCATCAATGATTCTCTCTCATCGTTGATGTTTCCATCTCTCTCTCCCTCTCCCTTCCTCTCTGAAATCAATAAAAAATATTTTTAAAAAATAAGATAGAGGCTGCAGCTGTCTTTGAAATCACCTTGACAGTGGAAACCTCAAAAGACAGCCAACCTGTGATGATGGGGAGCGACTCAGGCAAGAGATGGACTTTGGTTCTTAGTCATGAGTTGGGGGCGGGACTTCCCTTGAGCCAACAATCCCCCCTGGAGCTCAGTTTCCTGCATCCACCAGAGCGGGAGGAGGCTGCCTTCCCGTCCTCGCCCACAGGGGCATGGCAGGGACTCAACAGCTGCGCCAGCTGCTCCTGGGACCCGTCCCTCCCGAGGACTCTGCTGTTACAGATACTCAACCCAGCAGAACAATCCCCTCGGTGACACGTTGAGGGGTCAAAATCTGGCAGCGCCTGGGCCTCCTCAGGAACGGACGCCGTTGGGAATGGACACCAGGGCGCTCTGCTCCTGTAAGGGGACCCTCAGTGCCTCCGGCTGGACTGCCTCGTACCTGAGCCAGTCCCCACAGCTCCTGTCGGCTCACTGCCCCTCACCGGGTCTTTATGTCCCCACCTCCATCGGCGTCGAGGAGGGCGGGGTCAGCCCCAGAAACACAGACCCGGTTCTCGCCATGGGCCTGGGGTGTGACCTGCCAAGAAATGGCTGAGGGGCTGTTGGGCTGGGCCTGCAGCACTCCCGAGCGGTCTGCTGGTGGAGGAAGTGGCGAGGCTGAAATACTTGTCTTCATGATCGAGAAGCCTGTCCGCCCCCAGGAATGTAGGGGAGGGAGTGCCAGTTTTGGTGAAAGCCAAAGCTGAGATTAACAAAGTGTGCGCTCAGAATCATATATATCGCACTGCTTAGCATGGACTTTGGAGCCAGCAGACCCTACGGGATCCAAGGAATTCACACAAACTTGCCCAGATACTTTCCCCTTCCATTAATGTTGACAGTATTTGCCTTTGAGAGTTGCTGCCAAGATTAAATGGTATAATACACACCGAATGGTTGCTGTCACATGCTGAGCAGGCCCGTGACCATTGTCATCACCATCATCATCACGACTAATTGGTCACCACTTTCATCATCATCAATACTACCACCATCATCATCATCACCTTCACCATCATTGCCACCACCACCATCACCACCATCACCATCGTTATAACCATCATGATCACCACCACCACCACCACCATCATCACCATCATCTATTGTCATCACCCCCACCAGCATCACCACCTTCATCATCATCACATCATCCCCACCAATATTATGATCACCATCATCATCACCATCACCATCATCATTATCCCACCAAATTATCATCATCATCCCCACCACCATCATCACCACCATCACTATCGTTGTCACCATCATGATCACCACCACCACCACCATCATCATCATCACCACCTTCATCATCATCACGTCATTCCCACCATTATGATCATCATCATCACAATCATTATCACCGTCATCATCACCATCACAATCATCATCATTATCCCCCCAAAATTATCATCATCCCCACCACCATCATCACCATCATCCATTGTCATCATCATCACCATCATCATCACCACTATCATCATCATCATCCCCACCAATGTTAGCACGACCATCACCAAAATTATCGTCACCATCACCACCATCATCATTACCACCATCACCATCATCATCACCATCATCACCATCACCATCATCATTATCCCACCAAATTATCATCATCATCCCCACCACCATCATCACCACCATCATCATCATCCCCACCACCATCATCACCACCATCATCATCATCCCCACCAATGTTAGTATGACCATCACCATCATCATCTCCATCAAAATTATCGTCACCATCATCACCATTACCACCATCACCATCATCATCACCATCATCATCACCATCACCATCACCATCATCATCACCATTACCGTTACCATCACCATTACATCACCATCACCATCTCATCACCATTACCATCATCATCACCATCATCATCACCATCACCATCACCATCATCATCACCATCATCATCACCATCATCATCACCATCACTATCACCATTATCATCATCATCATCAATAGCTTACGTCCCATCACGGGAAGTATAGACACAGGATGAGCTCCTAGTTTTCAGGACAGTGTGGCGGCCTCTCAGTGTGACGGGGCCGGAGGGAGCGTGTGGACGGAGGGTGAGGGAGGGAGCGGGTGGACGGAGGGTGGGGGAGACTGAGCGGCCATCCTCCCTGCTTGTCCATTACACTGGGCATCCTCTTCCGTCCCCTCTGCCAACATGTCTCACTTGAGTCTCAGCGAAGCTGGTGAACAGACAGGATTTCTGAGGCCGGTGGGCACCCCATTGTTGCGGAGGTTGAGGGTGGTCCATATGGCATAAAGCTTGGCCCAATTGGCAGGCGGATTTGGCAGGCCTCGGGCAGAGCCGAGCTGTCTCACAGATGTGACTAATGGGGCACCAGTCTGTGGGAACCGTGGGCCAGAACCAGCAGCGAATGCTGCCACTGTAAATAATGGGCCCCAGAGCGGCTGCTCCGAGGGCGGCACCGCAGCCGAGGGGGTGAGAACTGGCACTGCCTGGGCCACAGGTGCTCCATGCCTGGCTCTCGAGTCGATGGACAAAAGAATGAATGAGGGAGCCCATGACACTGTCTCCTCCAGCGTTCCCCTCGTGCCAGTGCTGGGCATCTCCCCCGACTAATGGAAGAGGGACCGCAGGAAGAGAGAGCTGGCGTTCTGGTGATGCCAACTCGGACTCATTTGCTAGCAATCCCCCCCCCCCCCCCCGCGCACCACCATATCCGGCGGAGAAGGAACATCTGTGTGTGAGACCGTGTCCTTGCGAGGCCGCCAGAGAAACCTTGCGCTCCGAAGCCCTCCGCCGGGACCCGCACACGCGTGGTTCTCCCCGCGGGGCCTGCTGGGTCGGGTTCCTGGGGTGCGGTGGGCGGGCTCTGCTAAGGGATGTTAGGCCTGGGCGCCAGGCGTGGGGAGAGACAGGTCAAAGGTCTCAGGTGGAAGAACGCGGGACATGAGCACGTCCGTGGGGGGTGTGCCGACACCTGCCGGCTCCCTGCCGGCCCCTCGCGGCCTTTATCACCTGACGCCCAGGTTTTTTTGGGGGGGGGGGGGGGGGGGGGAAGGGGGGCAGAGGGAGAGGACAGGAGAGCTCCCTTCCTCTGGCATCTGCGTGTGGGGTTAGTGGACAGCTCTTGGCCGGGGCTCTGGCTGCCCTGGTTCTGGAGCCCTTTTGTCCCTGTCCTGCTCCCCCCGCCCCCCTCCCCCCTGCACACACAGCAGGGCAACCACAGAGCGGTTAGTGGACAGCTCTTGGCCGGGGCTCTGGCTGCCCTGGTTCTGGAGCCCTTTTGTCCCTGTCCTGCTCCCCCCGCCCCCCTCCCCCCTGCACACACAGCAGGGCAACCACAGAGCCCCCCCGGGACCTCTCGTTCGCTGACACTCGACAGGCAGTGCACTTGTTGGAGTAACATGGGAGCCGCGTCCCAAGGATCCAGCGTTCCCCGAGCTGCACGCTGTCTCCCACCTTCCCACTCAGTCCTGCGCCTTCCCGGCCCTCCTGGGTCAGGCGAGTCCGCCCTACGTGCAGGCAGCCGCCTGCTGCTCCGTGTCCAGGAGCAGGACTTCCCTGAGGCGGGAGGGGAGAGGAGGGTGACAGGTCCTGGGCGAAGCTCCGGCCAGGACTCCCCTGCTCCAGGTGAGGGCCCTGCAGGTGCCAGGGACCCGCTGCCCACGGGCCAGGTCACCGCCTGGGGACTGAAAGGCCTCCGGGGAGGAGAGAGGCCGGGGCTGGGGCTCCCCTCCCTGGACTTGGGGAGAGGGCAGCCCTGGTGTGTGAAGGAGGGGCCCGCGGGCCTGTGCGGCCCCCCCACAGCATCCCCTGCGGTCCCTCGCGGGTGCATGCAGGCTGCTCACCGACAGGACCCGGCGCTGGTAGCCAGGCTGACAGGACAGGCTCAGGTGCCCCTGTCTGGACGCCTTCATCATATGACCCCGTCTCACATCTCCCTCCCCCTCTGTTTCCAGGTCTGGCTGTCCATCAGATCGTCACCATCACCGTCTCCCTCATCATGGTCATAGCTGCTCTGATCACAACTCTTGTCTTAAAAAACTGGTAAGGGTCCCGGACCTTCTCGTCTGGAAATGGAGGCTGCGGGGGTCCCCGGGGAGGTGGTGCACACAAAAGGGTCCTAGTTCTCAACCTGGCGGCAGGCACAGCCCGGGGGACTGTTTCTCTGTGCCAGGCCCGGGCCCCAGAACACAGCCCCTCGTCCCGCAGCCCCCATCCCACAGGCTGGCTGAGAGCCGGCGTCCTGACTCAGGCAGCAGGCGTACCCTCTCTGCACACTTTTTCCCGGAGCAAGTGCCTTTGGGTTGCCCCCTGGGGCGTATCCCTTTTTCTTTTTCTTTTTTTTAAGTATATATTTTTATTGATTTTTAGAGAGAGGATTTTTAGAGAGAGAGGAAAGGAGAGGGATAGAAAGATAGAACCATTGATAAGAGAGAAGCATCAATACGAGAGGAATGTCATCCATCAGCTGCCTCCTGCATGCCGCCTGCTGGGGATCGAGCCTGCAACCCAGGCACGTGCCCTGACTGGGAATCGGACCCGTGACTTCTTGGTTTATGGGTTGATGCTCAACCACTGAGTCCCACCACCTGGGCCCCAAGCCTTTTTCTTCATTTCCCAGTGTCAGCCTGGCAGAGGCTGCGCTGGCCCTCGCTGGAGCCC